TCCGGCAGCCGCAGTTCCCGACCTGGCAACATCTTCATCTGCCCTTGGGGCGCTGAGAGCCCACCTGAGAACTGCGCCAGCTCTGCGCTCTGCAGCTCCGGACGGGTGGGGAGATGTTGGGAGTCCGGAGGTGGCCGTGGAGATGCTCCGAGGGCTGGAGCCCCTCTGCTCTGGGACAGGCTGGGGGTGCTCACCTGGAGGAGGCTCCAGGAGAGCTCAGAGCCCCTTGCAGGGCCTAAAGGAGCTCCAGGAGAGCTGGAGAGTGGCTGGGGACAAGGGGGAATGGCTTCCCAGTGCCAGAGGGCAGGGCTGGATGGGATATTGGGCAGGAATTGTTCCCTGGGAGGGTGGGCAGGCCCTGGCACAGGGTGCCCAGAGCAGCTGCGGCTGCCCCTGGATCCCTGGCAGTGCCCAAGGCCAGGCTGGATGAGGCATCCTGGTCTAGTCAAAGGTGTCCCTGTCCATGGCAGGGGATGGAACAGGATGAGGTTAATATTCCCTTCCAGCCCAAGCCATTCTGGGATTCTGTGATTTCTATGATCTTCTTTTTACACAAAGCCTGGTATTTCCATGTGCAACGCTCCCGTTGCAAGGTTCTCCCTTCCCTTCTCCATCCTCTCAGTAAGGAAAGAGTCCACTGAGGCCCCTGGGTGATTTAGCATCAAACACATTTATTTCACTTTTATTGAATACAAGAACAGTGAGCACACACGCATACACCACCGAGCACTGAAAAGGAGTATGACCAAAGGGGGAGAGGGAGAACAAGGGAAGAGAAAAGGAGAGTTAGTGAAGGAACAACAGAGCGTTGCAGTTGGTTGGTAAGGTGCTTCTCAAAGAAAAATAAATATTATTATTATTATTATTGTTACTGTTATTATTACTCATGCAATCGCAGGCCAGGTTCAGAATGAATTTGTGGGATTGGGTAAAAACAGGCACTCATGTCTCCCACCCCTTTCCACAGAAAAGGCCCCTGGAAGAAAACAAGCAGTGGCCAGCTATCTGAAACAGTGTGGTGATGGGCAGGCTGGGGCTGAGCAGCAGTAAGCCACACCTTGCCAAGAAAACAAGCAGTGAGCTTTTTTCTTTCCTTTTTTTCTTTTTTTTTAAGGAAAAAAAAAGTTTTGACAGTGCCACCCATGAACACGCTGCGGGAGCCAGGGGCTGCTCACTGCAAACAGAACTCGCAGCAGCCCAAGCACAGGGAGCCCCACTCTGTAAAGCTGCTCAATCCCAGGGCAGCCTTCACTTCCCGGGCTGGGCACCACGCTGAGAGCAACTCTGCAGGCTCACAGCAGCCTCGGGTGGGCTGTGGAGGTGCCCCAGCCAGGTGGGCTCTGACCCTGAACTGTGCCATGGTGAACACCCTCCACCACCCCTGGCAGTGCCTCTGCTGGGCACGGCTGGCTTGGGTGCATTGGGGAAACAAAGGGCACAAAAGGAGCCTCTTTGCAGCTGCCCTAAGTGCTGTGAGGCTGGGGCTGTGCTCCCTGGAGGTGTGTGGCTGGCACCTGGGCATGGGCACTGGCAGCAGCCCTGTGCTCCTGCCTTCCACACCTCTCTGCCAGAGAACAGAGTCACTGGGGAGCAGCTGCCAGGGAGCAGCTCCCTGCTGGGCAGTGCAGGGGCAGGGCAGGGGCTGCCCACAGCATCCTCGTGGCTCTGGAGCTCCTGCTCGGGCATCCTGCGAGCCCTGGCAGGGCCTGGCACAGCACACCCAGTCCTGGGCACAGCCTGTGTCAGGGGTGGGAGACTAAAGGCAAAATGGTGCAGAATCATGGGCCCTTCTGCTTCTGTAGGAGCTAGACACAATTCCAAGAAGGAAACCCATTTCTTTCCTTTCCTTTCTGGTTTTGGTTGGGAGCCTACCTGAACTGCCTGTTCACAGTGTTCGGGGCCCTGGGCTTGGCCCACGGTCCCCTTCCAAAGGCAGCCCTGGAGGAGCCTCGGCTGAAGGCTGAGCTGGGAGCAGCTCCACTGACACCTCCTGGGCTCCCCCATCCAGCCTGGGACGCTGGGGGCACTGCAGGGATGGGCACAGCACGCTCCCTGCACTGCCCATCCCATGGCAGACAGGGCAGCACTGCCAGCGCTGTCCCCAGCCCTTTGCCATCACACCCCTGGCAGTGGGGGAGGCAGGGCACAAGCAGCCCCTCCGCCTCTGACCCTACTACAAAACTCAAGTACGTCCATTATTGGGATCCAGAAACAAAGCAAACCCACCCCACGCAGGGGCAGGGCTCCTGCAGGGGAGCCCCGAGCCCTGCAGCTCCCACCTCGCTCCCAGCTGAGCCCGTGCTCTGGGGCTGGGAGCCCCTCCTGCTGTTGGAGCTGGAGCCTTCCCTGCCCCTCCAGGTGATGCTGCCCCTCCAAACCTCACCACCACACACTGCACATCACCATTAGGACACTCCTGTCCCTGTCCCTCTCCCCTGCCCCCCCAGCCAGCAGCAGCCAAAACCTTTCCCATTCCTTCCTGCAGGACTCACAGTCCCACGGGTGATCTAAGAGTCTCCAAGTACACCAACCACAGTCAATCCAAGAGTTAACCATTTAAAAATGTTGGCATCGTCTGTACCAGCACTGTTGAATTATTTCAGCATTGTTCCCTCCCTCCCCCTCTGTTATATAGAATAATATACAGAACTGAAATGCACATCCATATGAAATCCCACAGGCTGCTCGTTAGAGATGAGAAACCATGTACATATCATTTGCTTTGTTTGAAATTAAACCCATTCCTAAATACCTTCAGAGAACAAGAGGTTGGACAAGTGCACAGAGAAGATAAGGAAGGGAAGGGGAAGAGTTAACAGAACCCCCAAAAAAATGCAAAAAACCAGCATGGAATGAGGAGAAGGGCGAAACGACACTTGTGAATTGGAAAATAACTCTAAGGTCATAACTTGAATGTTTTTCTCTCTTCTTTCCAGAGGTGGGGAATGGTTTTGCTTCTGCTTGTGGTTTTTTACTTCAGTTTGCTTACTTGCTTTGTTGCAAAGCAGTTTTCCTTTTCATTCAGTGTGCAACAAATGAACTCATGATTGTGTGTCCTTTCATGTAACATGCAAGATGGTGGCTTATTGTATTGTTACCAAGATTATTGTTATTATTATGACTTTTTAAATCTGATTTGATCACCAATCCAGGAAATTCTTCAATTTATCTGCAGAGGGTTGGCTTTGTTTGTTGGTGGTGTTGTTTGCTATTCGTTTCCAGCATATAGCAGCAGTGCAAGGATGCATTTTGTTTCCTGTTTATATATATATATATATATGTATGTATGTATATATATATATAATATATTTGCTATTCCTTTTTTAAAAATTTTTGTCTCTTGCCATGAACATTGCAGCCAGGATGTCTATGTCTTGCTGATAAATCCAGCATGAAGGCTCCTTCTCCCCTGTTCTCCAGGTTGGAATACAGATGTTGGCTTCCAGGAACATGTTGGTCAAGATTCCTGTGCAAGGCAGATGGAAAGGACCAAGTCATGGAGTGCCAGTCCATGGAGGCTCCTCTCTGCATGAGGGCACTGGATAGAAACTTTGCAAACACTTGGGGCCACGGTTTGCATTTAATTAGCAGGAGCTTTGGTAATTAGCAGGAATTCAGGCACTGGGCTGGTGCTGGTGCAGGAAGGACATGAGGGCAGCTGTCACTCCCTCACTTTAAGCCATTCAGCTAAAACTGGGTGGATCCTATGGGATGCAGGAATGTCTGGATTCCTTTGTACTGTGGGACAGGGTGAGGCAGCTCCACCAGCCTCTCATGGCCTCCCCAGCTGCACTGCTGGTCACTTTTCCAGGCTTAAAAGCTGCCAATCAGAACCTTCATATGATAAAGAAATGGAAAACCCCAGTTCTGAGGAGCCTCTCCAAAGGCACCTGGAGCCTGGCTCTGCCAGAGCCCCCAGAACCGTTCCCTCTCCTCTGCACCTCAGTCCCCAGTGCTCCCACACAGGGCTCTGGTGGCTGTGCCAGCCCAGGGGAGCTGCATCTCCAGGCTGGCAGGGGCAATGGGGTCAAAGAGGGGGTTCAGGGTGGGGCAGGACTCCCCAAGCCCTAGAGAAGTGTCTGGGACTGTGACAGCTTTGGGGTGTCTGCAGGGAGGTGCAAACCTTGTGTGCTGCTGCCTACACCTGTGTGTGTATAAAAACTAAACCTGGAGATCTGAGTGGGACTGAAAGCCTGTACGGTTTTTGTAAAGCAAACATAATTTCTGCCAACATTGTTCTGATACTTTGGCTTTGCATAACCTGTAGCCAAGTGCCTCAGCCTACCCAAAAACCTGAGATCCCTCATTCCCTTCCCACCTCAGGGGGATGAGCAGGTCCTTTCCTTTTTACATCAAATGCCTCTGAGCCCTGTGCTGAGCAGGACAGCAGGGTGACATCCACAGCTTCCTGACCACAACCAGGTGGCTGAGCCCAGAGCCACCATGCCACCCTCTGTGGGGACCAGAGACCGTGACCTGTGACACCGCCATTACCAGCAGGTGTAAATCACACCTGGCAGCTTCTCCACCTACCTGAGATTTCTTGTCCCTTTCCTCTGGAGAGGGCTCTGTTTCTCTGTACACCACAGCTTTGGTTACCAGCATGTCAGGGTGCTGGAGTTTTGCCTCTTTGATTGCTAAAGCCAGTGCCTGGAAAGCAGAAGGGTGAGAGAGAGCATTTATCCTCCCTCTCCTGCAATCAGGCACCCTGACTGCAGCCAGAAAGCAGCTGAGCAGCATTCCAGGGAGCAGAGCGGGATTCCAGGAGGACAGGAATGCAGGGGTTCACAGCTGAACCCACAGCAGATGGGCAGAAGAAGCTGAAGCCCAGCATGGGAATCCAGCATGATTGGGAATTCATCCATGACTCGGAGCCCCCACGAGCTGCCTTTCTCTGCTGTTTTTCTGTACAGATGTGCTACTGAAACCTGGGCAGAGGAAAACACTAGAAAAATCTACAGGAATTATCAAATTCATTATTATCATTCTAAAAATTATTTCAGAGCCTTTTAATTACTTTATCTCTTTATTTCTTTTTCTTAAGTAATGAATCCCTGTGAGGCCACAGGGAAGTGACCTTGTGGACCTAAAGACTTGTGTCAGTCTTTGTGATTTCATCCCAAAAGTGTGTCACTTTTGTCCTCTGACACTGAGGCACCGTCACCTGGAGGCTCAATCTGTAGTGAGATTGTGCTGGAAGAGAGAGGTGACCTGGGTCACTTTGGAGTATTTCAACAGAGAAAGAACACACAGAAATGTGTTTATGACTGTAAAAAAGTGGATGCCATCACTCTGTTCTGCACTGGGATGTGGCCTTTGCCACTACTTCGTGGTGGGAGATGGCCTGAGGGTCACTGCACCCGTGGGAACCCGCCCTGCTGGACAGGTCTGGGGTCTTGGCGGTCAGGTTTTGGCCAAAAGCAGTAAACAGGTTCAGGCAGAAGCAGAAACATGCAGTGCTGCATCCAGGGACAGCCAGAAGTGGGCAAAGGCAGAGCATCCTGCTCCTACCTGGTCCTGGTCCACATCTTCATCTCCCGTGATGATGATGCGCTTCTCTATCCGGGTCTCGGAGAACCCTCCTTTCACAGTCTGCGTGAGGAGAGGAGAGGAGAGCTCTCAGCCCTGCCCCAGCAGCCAGCTCCAGGCAGGGGAGGGAACTCTGCCACAGGAGCAGGAACAGCACCAGCATCCCCTCAGAAGTGCCCAGTAATCCAGCAGAGCTCCCACTGCCCCTGGCTCAGGGAGGAGGGAGGCACAGAGCAGCCCCAGGGGAAGGAGAGGGGCTGGGGCAGGTGCCAAGCACCCTCCTGCAGCTCAGCTCCCCCACAGAGCTGCTGCTGTCCTTATAGAACCACAGAATCACTGCGAGGCTGGCAAAGCTCTCTGAGATCACCAAGCCCAACTGTTCCCCCAGCACTGCCAAGGCCACCACTGACCATGTCCCCATGTGGCACAGCTACACATCTGAAACTCCTCCAGGGATGGGACTCCACCACTGTCACTGACATCTTTTATGAAAAATCCTTTCTTTAGGATTTTTTCCTCCTGAGAAGCTGAGAGGCCTCAGGAACAAAATGTAAGCAATGGTTATCTGCTGCTGTGGAATGCAATAGGTGCATCTGTGATTGGTCTCATGTGATTGTTTCTAATTAATGGCCAATCACATTCCACTGGCTCAGACTCTCTGTCCGAGCCACAAACCTTTGTTATTCATTCCTTCTTTTTCTATTCTTAGCTAGCCTTCCGATGAAATTCTTTCTTCTATTATTTTAGTATAGTTTTAATGTAATATATATAATAAAATAATAAATCAAGCCTTCTGAAACATGGAATCAGATCCTCGTCTCTCCCTCATCCTAAGACGCCTGTGAACACTGTCACACACCACTGCCCTGGGCAGCCTGTGCCAGTGCCTGGCCACCCTTTCTGTAAAGAAATTTTCTCAAATATCCAAACTAAACCTCCCCTGGTACAACTTGAGGCCATTTCCTCCCATCCTGTGCCTTGTTCCCTGGAAGAAAAGCGTGTATTTTATCTGGGGATGCAAGAGCCATGGGTGAGACCCTCTGCTGCAGCCTTGTCTCCTTCACTCCCACCCCTGGCCTGCCCCTGGCTGAATGCTCACCCCTGGCTGTGCCTGCCTGCTGTGGTCCCACCTGGCTGGATGGCACAGGCAGCACCCAGGGCACACAGCACTCTGTGGGATTGCCATTCCATGGGACAGCACTCAGCTCTTGGCTTGCTGGAAGGAGAGGGGCCCTTTCTGCTGTACCTGGCACAACATAAATCCACCCATCCCCTAATTCCAGTGGCCTTCAGGAAGCCCTGGAGCTGCTCTCACCTTGGTGACGTGGGTGGTGGTGGAGGTGGAGAGCGTTTCTGCAGTGGCACTGAATATGCTGGTGAGCACTTCCTTGCCAGCGGAGCCGCCCGAGATCTGCGGGACACGAGCAGTGGGACACCATGGTCAGGGGACATCCTGGAGCGTGCTCAGGGGACATCCCAGAGCCTTCTGCTCCTGGGGAGCCCAGCCCAGCCCCAGCCAGCCAGGACCTCCCTCTGGGATGTACCCCCTCAGCCCAGCAGGGAGGGGAGAGCACAGCAAGGGAAAAAGGCAATGAGCTGTGCTTCCAACTGCACCAAGAGCTTGGGGGGACCAGGGAGAGGTTTCCACAGGTATCCAGGCCCACAGCAGCTGCAGAGGGTCTCATGACTGCTTTTGGCTCTTCCCTACCCACCCTCAGGGCCACTCTAGCACAGAGTCCTCAGGCTGCCTCTCTGTCCATCCCACTTTGCATGCCAAAAGCTGGGAAGGCTGGGAAGGAAGGCTGGGTAGGATGCACTGGTACCCCAGCCCCAGGGCTGCTCTCCCTGCAGCACAAAGAATGAGCCTGGGGCAGCACCTGGTGTTTGGCCAGGCTGCACTCCATCAAAATGAAGGGGTGGAGTAAGAAATCCCTTTCCAGAGGCAGGGCTGTGTTGGGCAGGATGGTTGGTGGCCACCACCTCCACTAGGAGTCAGGAGACTTTGTGGGTGGCCTTGGGTGACCCCACAGGACACCCAGAGCTAAATGCATCTCAGCCCAATGCAGCAGGGACTGGGGTATTTTTGGGAATTATCCTCCTCAGGCAGATGCTCAAGGCATGGATCTGGCATAGGAAGAACGCCACAGCTTGGGGCCTCCTGACTTCTTGCTCCCCAACCTTCTGAGCATCCTTCTTCCCTTCCCAATACCAACAGATCAGCCGGGTGCCAGTGCTGGGAACGCAGCAGGGGGCCCAGTGGGACCAATCCCACCCACTTCCAGCCCCACAGGGTTGCCTTTCCCAGCTCGGCCATGTCCCCCCTCACCGGTGACAGGGAGCGAAGGTCTGTGGTGGGAGCGGCCCCTTTGCCAGCCTTGGTGCCGTGATCCTGTAAGAAGAGCAGATGGCACGTTGGCTCATGTTGGCATGGGGCAAACATGGCAGGTGCCACCCTCTAAAGACACCCCCAGGTGGCCCCAGTCACTCCCACAGGAGCAGAGGGACCGCAGGGGACAGTGGCTGCCCCTCCCTCGAGGGCCAGCCCCGCTTACTGAGGTCACCAGCGCTGTCTCTGTGGTGCCAGCCTGGCCAGTGCTGGTGGTGGTGCTGTCCCTGCTGCCCGGGGTGCCTCCGTCCACCTGCCAGGACAAAGGAAACCAGGTGAGCCTGGAGGTGCCACCAGGGAGTGGGTGACACTTGCAGGGACAATGTGGCCATATCCTGCTGCCAGAGGAAGCCAGGGAGGGCAGTGAAGCTACAGCCAGCTGGTGGCTGTCACCCACTAGAGATGTTCCTGTGTGCCAGCACTGCCCAGCAGCATGGCAGGTGGGGCCAGGGACACCCAGACAATATCCCTTTAGCTTGTGTTTTTTGAGGACTTCACCACGCCAAGGGTGAGCAGAGGCCCCCAACCACCCCACAAAGCCACTGCCCTCCCAGAGCTGCTGCCAGGGACAGGCTTTGGTGGGCTGAGGCTTTGGGGAGCCTCAGGGCTCAGGCTCTCTGGGGAGCCACCGTGTCACCTGGGCCGTGTCTGTGGCGCTGACCCGATGGGGAGCGGAGCCTTCTGCTTCGGGCTTCTTCACAGTCACAGCGTCTGCCTTGGGGGCTGAGGGCTGCAGGAGGAACAGCAGAGAGTCAGCAGAGCCTGGGGCACGATGCCAACAGCCCTGAGTGCTCTGTCCATGGCACGGTGCTGGAAAGAGATGACCTCTAAGGTCCCTTCCAGTCCAGCCACTCGAATTCTGTGCTCCTTGTGCAGCAGCCCCTGGCAAAGCATCCCTGCCCTGCTCCTTCACAGGTGCCACACACACAGTGTTCTGTGAGTGTCACATTGAGTCCTGCCTGGGCAAACTGCAGGGCTGGGCTGCTGCCCTGGGCAGACAGGCACCATCCACAGTGCCCTGTGACCCCCACACCCCAAATCAGCCCTGCTGCTCTGTCCCTGGGATTTTTTGGATAGATTTATAGACACCATGGATAAGGACAAGCTACTCTTCAAAAGCCAAGTGAGAGCCACCAAACCAGTTTCATGCCTATGCTGCAGTCATTTTGTGATCTGTACCAGTTCCTGGTGGCTCTGGGTACACCTGGGTGTCAGAGCCTGGGGGGAATGGACACAGGCTGGCAGCACTGCCCTGCTGCAGGAAACTGGAGCTGCCAAGGGCTCCTGCATGGGAGATGCTCCACCAGTGCTCAGTATTCCTGAGCCAACAGCCCTGGAGTGGATCACCCATGGTCACAGCCACACACCAGGGTTTCCAGGCTGGTTCAGAGACAGCTCCCTCTAATTCTGCAGCTCCATCCTGGCTTTAAGTCTGGACTAACCTCAGCAGCTCTGGCCAGCATTGGGGACTTACCTGCAGGGCTGGAGGCTGCCCTAGGTGGGTGGGCCAGAGATGGCCCTGCCCAGCACAGAGACAAGGCCACAGAGATGCTGTTCCATCCCCATGAGCGCACTCAGCCCCACACATGCACATGCAATTTTGTTAGCCCTGCTATGACCCCTCCCAGCACAGAGTGACCCTCCATGAGCTCCAGGGCGGTTCCACAAGGCCAATCCCCCCCAGCCCCAGCATGACCAGAGAGGTTAGTGGGCAGCACATGGCTCTGCACTACACGGACTGGTCACTGAATTCATGCAGGACACGAGGACAGCTCCCATGGTTAGTGCCACGTGCCCTCCCTGCGGCGCACATGCTGCTGTGGGCTGTGCTGGGACAGCCACACGCAGGGACACAGGTGACAGTGACTTCTCCTGGTTAGCAGATGCACCAAGCATGTGACAGAGCCATGCAACACAGACACAGCGTGCACCGGGCAGGAACGGGGGGTGGCAGCCAGCATGCTCCCCAAAACCAGCCGGGAGCACAACGTGGGCACAAGGGACACAGAGGCACGATGGCACTGGGCCGGTCTCAGTGAATGGTGTCCCTGTGTACCTCTGCCTGGGAGACATCTGGGCTGGGCTGGGAGACCTTATCCCGGCCTTTCACATCCTCTTCCAGTCTGGGAACTACTTTGTCAGTGTGCTGCAAGGAAACCAGGCCTTCATCTTCTGTTTCGCTCTTGTCCTTGTCCAGCTCGGGCAGGCTGCGGGAGATGTCCTCGAAGGCCGTGCCGTGGAAGTCCCCGATGACGGTGAAGTCCACCTCCGCCTCCAGGCTGGAGGTTGAGCTGACGGTGATGCTGGAGCACTTGCGCTCGATGGCCAGGTGGTTGTCCTTCAGGAACACCGAGTCCTTCTCCTGGTCGGGCTCCTCGTCGCCGGTGTCGCTCTCGGGGGCCCTGTGCCGGGGTGGCTTCACCCTCTCCTCGGGGCCCTCCCTCGCCCCCGCTCTCTGAGGGAGACACAATCGTGGAGAGAGAGACGGGGCCGTGAGCACCGCGGGGCAGCGCCGGCGGGACACGGCAGCAGCACGAGGAGGAGGAGGAGGAGGAAGGCTGCAGCAAACATCACAGAGTAGAGTCAAACACAACTCAAGCATGGAGACCGAAACCTTTCTGACAGCAGTGGCTTTGCTGCAGGAGAGAAGGCGACTCCATTGGATTGTGCCAAAAGTTTGTTGGCAATGAATCATCTCAAAAAGGCTCGGTCAGACAAAAAACAAGCTCGGCCAGCTTGGAGGCACTTCAGTGCACCGGTGGAAGCAGATGGATGCAAAACAATGGGTCTGACAGGAGACATTCAAAAGAGCTCAGACGTAGGGCTATCAGATGTCAGTGACTCAAAAAAAACAAACAAGGGAAAGAAAGAGAGAAGAGTTTGAAAGGAAAGGGCCCATCAGCCAGGCACGGTGAGGGAGAAGCAAAGGAAGGTGCCAATTCCACTGAGGAGGAATGAGCCAATTCCACTGAGCATCCTGTGAAGCATCACCCTGGGGGGAGGTCCAGCCCAACAGCTGCCCCGGGGTGAGTCTACCCCACTGACACCACCTGCCCCTCCAGAGGCCTCAGGTGAGTCTCAGGGTGACCTGGTCAGTGTAATTGACAGCACGGCCAGAGCCAAGGGATGACCTCCCTCCATCCACTCTTCTCCAGACACGGACATACCTCTCAACTCTGCCATCGGAGGGGACGTGTCCCATTGCCACACTTTGCCATGAAGCCATGGGAATCTACACCCAGTTGTCCCTTAGGAACAGCTCTAAGCTCACCGATGCCAGAGGAAATCCCACCTCCTGGCCTCTGCTCCAGGCTTACAGCCAGGGCCATCCCCCGCGGGCCGGGCCTGCCGGCACACCCCTCCCTCGGCACTGTGGGAGGTTGAGAGGTATGGGTGAAACACAGGGTGTCCAGCAGCACCGGGGAACACGCTGCAGACACGTGTGGGGGTGTGTCTGACCAATACATACAGAGAGCCCTGCAAGGGGAGCGGAGGGGCAGCACAGCCCTGGCCGCGGGGCGAGCGCTCACACTGCCGGGAGAAGCACTTAGCAAAACAGCACTGAGACCTGCGAGACCACTGGAACAGCAGCCTTTACATTCTCTTCTTTCAGGCTGGATTTTACTGATGGGTCACATAAATCCTTTTCTTCCCCACTTGGTTGCTGAGATTTGCTCTGGATTAGAGAAAAGGGTTAGTCGGAAGGAAATGAACTCTGCAGGAGCTGCTCAGGCGCTCACGAGAGCGAGGGAAGCTGCTCCATCAGCCGGCCACCAGCTTGCTGAAGGCAGGGCAGGGTGGCAGCTAAGCAAGAAGGGGTAATCAACCAACGTAGGAAATGCAGGGGTGAAGCTGGAAGCGTGGGCCGCGTGTCCGTGACAGTCCCAGCTGCTCCAGCCACCCCCCGGCGCCCTGTCCTGCTCCCGGCCACGGAGCTCGGGTGCCCCTCCTGGGTTCAGCATTCTCCAGGGAGCCAAAATGTTGGGGGGCGCAAAACAAAAGCTGATGAACCGACTGGGCAGCGGCTGCGCATGCAGCCAGTGAAGCCTGACCACACACACAGACAGAGAGGACAGGGATGCAAAGCGCCTGCTGCCAGTCAATGGAGTGTGAGGAGCCACTGGACACGGGCAGAGCCACAGAACATGCGCACGAATGGCCCGTCCGGACGGCTCGGTGCGGTTACCACGGCCTCGGCCAGGGTGAGCTCACAGCCGGAGTCGGGCGAGGCCAGCTCGGCACTGTCTTCTTCGTGCTCGGGCTCAGCAGAGACTCCTTCCTTCAGGGACTGAGGCTGGGAGGTGCCTCCTGAACCAGCCCCTTGCCCAAGGACCAAGGAGCCCACGCTGGACACAGGTCCCACTGCAGAGGGTGAGGCGAGGCCGGTGCTCCAAGGCAGATCCTGTGCCACATTTGCCTTCCCCGTGGCTGTCACCAATGTCTCAGCTTCAGGCACGTGCTCCTGTCCCTCCTGGCCCGCCCTTCGCTCCGCTTCACCTTGCTCAAACATCTTGATCTTGGAGGCCACGGAAGTTTCCCTGTAGCTCTTGCTGTCCTCCTGGCTTCCTGGGGCCAGGGCAGCATCCCCGTGCTCCTGGGCCACAGCTCCTGCCAGCCCAGCCATGCACACCGACAGCCCAGGCCCTGCTGGATGTGTCTCACCACCTGATTGCCCTGTCCTGCCTTCATTCACCACGGCAGAGAGCTGGGATGCCTCGCTTCCTTGGCACAATCCTGCTGCAGGGGACTGGGAGGGAGGGACATCAGCAGCTGCTCTGGGAGGAGAGTCATCCTGTGGTGGCTGCCCCAGAGCCAGGTCACTGTCCCTGGTGCTTTCTGGGACTGTCCAGCTCCCACACTGCAGATCTTGTCCAACACTGAACTCTGAGTCCCGCTGTGGCTCTTGTGCTTTTGGATCTGCATTGGGGAGGGGCAAGTCCCTCAAGATTGTCTCAGTCTGCTGTTCTGCTTCTTCTCCCTTGGGGAGCACCTCAGCCATGCCAAGGCTTTTGTCATGGGACAGTTCTTCCATCCCAGAGCCTTCATCTCTGGTTGGCTTCCCTGACCCTGAGCCCTGGAAGAGCTCTTTGATCATGGGCTTCTCTTCCTGCACTGGCTCTTCAGTGGCAGGCACATTGTTCTGTGCTGTGTCCAAGTCCTGGGCCACCTCGCTGGTGGCCAGGTCTCTAACCTGGACTGACTCTGCTGCAGGGCCTGTGTTTTGGGGTGGCTCTCCTGTAACAGGACTTTTCACCTCATGGGGTTTCCATGAGGCAAATCCCACATCTTGGGACTGCTCTTCAGCTTCAGGATTAGTGCCCATGGGCAATGCCACCTCCTTAGAGGGGCTCCCACGCTTGGGCATGGCCACCTCTCTGGCAGGGCTGGTGCCCAGGGACAGGTCTGTGCCCGGAGGCTCCGTACCTGGAGACAGCTCCACAGGGACTGGCCTGGGTTTCTGGGGAAGGGGTGGAGGGACAGGAGCACTGGGTTTGTCCCCCTCCAGCCCCGTGGTGTGAGTGTGGCCCTGCCAAGACCCAGCTGATGATGGTGGTGACTTGGGCTCTATCTCTTCCATCTGAAGAACCACTCTGGTACTTTCCTCCCTGTCACTGTCTGCTCCAACCCTTCCCAAGAGCCCCTCCAGTGCTGGGCAGATGTCTGGGGACTGTTCTGGGCTCCCTCTGTGCTCCTCAGCCCTGGGGCCATCCCCTGCCAGGCCACATGGCTTCAAGCCTCCCACCGAGCTCTGCAGCTCCATCTCCTCTGGTCCCACCTCCTGGGAACACAGCAGGGCTTCACCTTCCATGGGTGCTCCTGCAGGCACCCCAGCACCAGGTGCTTTCTCTGGCTGCAGGGACAGCTCTTCCCACCCTGAGAGGGGATGTCCCTCCAGGCTGGTCCCATCACAGCTCATCCCAGGTGGCTCTGGTGCTCCAGTGGGTTTTTCAGACACTGTCCTGTGCTGGTGACTTGCTGAGGAGAGGGCTTGGAACCCTTCTGCCACAGGTGTGACATGCTCGGATCCCTCCCTGGATGTGTTTACTGGGGCTTCTGGTCTCTCCTCCAAGCCAAGACACCCACCAGTGTCCAAGACCAGGTGTGCTTTACTGTCCTTCTCCTCCCCCTCTGGATCTCCTAAGTAGATGATCCTCTGGGTTGCAGAAGTCTCTGAGCTGTCGTCACCAGCCTTCACTTTAATTTTCAGGACCTCTGGGGCCGTGGCTGCCACTCTGGCCTCCTGCTTCCTGAAGACTGCAGAAGCACGGTCCTTGGAGAGCACCTCACCTTCTCCCTGGGGAGGCTCTGGCTCCAAAATCTTGGTCCTTTGCCTCTCTTCAGGCTGCTGACAGGGCTTGGGCAGCCCTGGCTCCCTGGTGGCTGCGCCTCTGCCCGGCTCTTGGTGCTCCCCCTCTGCACTCTTGGTGGGTGGATGTGCCTCCCCTGGGCTGGACTCACCCCTGCTTTCCTTCTCATAGAGCTCATCCTCCCACACAGACTCAAAATCCTCAGGACTAGCAATCATTTTGGCTCTCTTCCTCGTCTCCAAGGCTGCAGCTGCCGGCTCTTCCTGGCCTGCCCCGTCCTTGGCTTTCCCTACCGTCACCACCACTTTGGTCAGGCTGCCACTCGTGCTCCCCTCCGAGGTCCCTGCACGTGCTTCTTCCGTCTTGGCTCTCAGAGTTTTCCTCAGAGCTACAGCTTCCAGCCTAGGGGCTTCTCTCTCTATAAATACCCAGTGCTCCGAGCCCTGCATTGCAATTGGAGCAAGAAGAGTTAAACGCATCAGACACCCGGCCCCAAGTGCTGCTGGCACGACTGGCACAGCTGCTCAGCCTGGCACGGGGCTGCCTACATCATCATCATCATCATCACTGCCATTATTATTATTATTATTATTATTATTATTATTATTATTATTGTTACTATTACTATTGTTCTTATCAAGGCCAGAGTTGAGGCTCTGCACAGAGCCCAGCCGCTCATTGATGGGGAGAGGGGCTGAAATAAGGGGCTGCTGCCACACTGGGGACCGAGCCAGTGTCCTCTCAGGGGACAGTGCTCTGCTCTGGGTGGTGGCCCCCTGACACACCTGCAATACCTGGGGCCCTGCTGGTGGCACAGAGTGGGAGTGGAGCTCCCAGCAGACACGGGAACACCACCAGGGTCTCTCTGGAAGCAGGGGAACACAGCTGGCTGCCCCCTTGTTTGCAGCTGGCTCTGGCTACTCCCAGGGGTGAGATTTCATTGGAAGCAAGGCCCTGGTTCTGGGTAGCTTCACTCTCAGCGTCACCCATGTGCCCTAAAAATTTGTCAGAGTGCCAAGAGCACAAGCAGGGAAAGAAACCACTGCAAGCCATTAGCAAGGCCCTGTCCCTTTCCTACCAGCTGCTGCAGCTCAGATTCCCCAAAAGGCCATCCCTCCTTTCCAGCTCACCAGGGACATCTCCTCAGAACACAGCCATGCTGAAAACAAGTGTTCAGCAAGTGTCACCTGAGAAAGGCTCCCTGGGAAGTGTAAAAGATCACAGGTTCAGCAGCAGGACCAAGCAAAGGCCACGGAGCATCCTGCAGCACGGCCACAGCGGGAATGTCACCGTGCTGCTGGCAGGGGACACCAGGTCACTGCTGCCAGGGACACCTTGTACATCCATGTGCTCATCCTGCACGTCAGCTGAAGGCCTCATGAGGGCCAAGAACAAAGCACTGCTAGAATCCAGCCACTTTTGGAACAGCAGGTAGGAAATAACTCATGGGATGAGAGTTTCAGGAGAACATCTGCACCATGGGGCGGCTCAGCCATCCCTGGCAGCACATGAGGAGGGCAGTGCTGGGGCTCGCCGTGTGGCTGGCACTGCCCATGGCACAGCCTGCAGCAGGGGCAGAGATGGCCCTTGAGGGCACCAGGATGCACTCCAGGCCCAGGGAGGGGCTGCCTGGCCGTGCCCCCTCCAGCCAGGAACAGCTGGAAACTGAGCCTCACCCCATGCAGGGCACTGGGGGAATGTTTGGAGCAGTTGCACCAAAATGCAAACCTAGTGACTGGTACTGGAGAAAGGGAAACAGGGGGCAGAGGGGAGCAGAGCCAGAGAGAGGGAAGGGAAGGTAATATTAGAGAAGAGAAAGAAAGGAGGAAAACCAGCTGCTAGTGGAAGAGCTCCCACAAGGAAATGAGAAGTCAGTGAAAGCCCCCAGCAGAAGAATGCCATTCCCAGCTGCTCCTTTCTCTGCCAAGTGTCAAAGGAAGCAGAGCTCCCTCGGCACAGTGCTGCAGGCCCTGCCCCTGCCCTCACTGCAGCCCCCAACCTGCCCCTGCCCCAGGCTCTGCCAAGATTCCCTCTGCCCCCAAAAACCCCCAGGAGCCTGCAGGGAACCACCTGGGGCTGTGCTGTGGTACAGCCCATGGGCCCCACAAGAGAGCACCCCACCCTGAGGGCAGGAAAGTACCAGCTCCTCACAGTGCCAGGGCATCCACAGGGATGGGATCAATGGTACCGTCCTCCTCTGGTGCCAGAGGGATCCTTGGCAGGGACTCTGCCCTGGCCAGGCAGCCCCAGTGAGCAGCAGGGGCTGCAGGAAACCTGAGCCCTAGCCCCCTCCAGCAGGAGCCTCTCCCACAGCCCCTTCCCCTCGCCAGCTTGCTCTCCAGCTCCCTTCCTCCACTCCTGCCTCCAGGGCAGCTTTTGTTCCTTCCCAGTTCATGGCACTGGGAACAGAGCCCACCAGTGCCTGCCCCGGGGCTGTTCCCAGGTGGGTGTGACCCGTGACAGCACCATCCCCCCTGCCTGGGAGCCCCCTGGGCAGCCCTGCTGCTGCCTGGCCCTCAGTCCTTGTGCTCTCTCTGCCCCTCAGTCCCTGTGCTGCTGTGTGACCCTCAGTCCCTGTGCTGCTGCCCAGCCCTCAGTCCCTGTGCTTTCTCTGCCCCTCAGTCCCTGTGCTCTCTCTGGCCCTCAGTCCCTCTGTGCTGCTCTCTGCCCCTCAGTCCCTGTGCTGCTGCCCAGCCCTCAGTCCCTGTGCTGCTGTGTGACCTTCAGTCCCTGTGCTCTCTCTGCCCCTCAGTCCCTGTGCTCTCTCTGCCCCTCAGTCCCTGTGCTCTCTCTGCCCCTCAGTCCCTGTGCTCTCCCTGGCCCTCAGTCCCTGTGCTCTCCCTGGCCCTCAGTCCCGGTGCTCTCTCTGCCCCTCAGTCCCTGTGCTGCTGCCCAGCCCTCAGTCCCTGTGCTGCTGTGTGACCCTCAGTTCCTGTGCTCTCTCTGCCCCTCAGTCCTTGTGCTCTCCCTGCCCCTCAGTCCCGGTGCTCTCTCTGCCCCTCAGTCCTTGCGCTCTCTCTGCCCCTCAGTCCCTGTGCTCTCCCTGCCCCTCAGTCCCGGTGCTCTCTCTGCCCCTCAGTCCCTGTGCTCTCCCTGGCCCTCGTCCCGCTGTGCTCCCTCCTGTCCAGCAGCCACACTCAGCCAGGACAGCGCTCACATTCCCGAGGGTGCAGCAGTTTCTCTCCTGCTCCTGCCCTGCTGTCCCACTGCTGAAACCATTCTCAGCCAGGACAAGGATGGGCAGCTTGTGGGCACCTGTACAAATCTCCTTAGCAAAGCCCTCTCATCCCTCTTCTCTGGCTGCAAACCAGAGTCCTTCAGAGGAGATCTTCCCTGAGCAAAGGGGGTGATTTTCTTCAGGCTCCTCTTCTGAATTAAGGCCCAAGATAAATGTAGATCAAAAAATCTGACCCCTGGTATATCTTCATCTGACAGGACCTCTTCACCAGTCAGGAAAACCCCAAAGTTTCAGATTTATTCCCAAACCAGCTTCTTCCCTCTCCTCAGGCTCTCGAGATGAGCACAGCCCAGCCCAAGGGGCATCCAGCTCCTCCTTGGTATGGTGTACACTCTGCTCTGGACGGCTCTGGCCACAGCCCACAGCTCAGGGCAGCCCTTTTGTGTCCAGAGCCTGAGGGCTCTGGGGGATGCCTGGAGCAAATCCCTGGATCCTGGGGCACATCCCCCAGGGAAGCAGGAGCTCGTGAGGAGCTGTCAGTGGGCTGGGGGATGGAGCCACAGCAAAGCTGCCTCTCAAGAGCTGATGCTGGGAAGGCTCTGTCCAGAGACCAGCCCTGACCTCCCAAGGGATAAGTGACTTTCACATTCCTGCCCTCCCCCCCTCCCCATGCACCTGCTCTAGGGACAGGAGCAACTGGGAAGGGCATTCCCACAGTGGCCTTCAGCACAAGAGGCAGAAAGGAAAGAGGAGAGCAGGGAGCAGAGACAGCCTCTGCTCCTGCCAAGAGGGGCCATAGCCTTGGAGAGGCACATGGGGGGCTTCTTCCCTGGGCATCCTTCAGTGCCCCTGCTGCCCTTCTCTGCTCTGAGGGACACCCAGCTCACCTGAGAGGAAAGCACAGCCTCAGGCAAGGAAAATGAGGGAATCAGATGTTGGACAAAACAGGGTGCTGGAGAGGCTCCTGGCACTGCCCAGTCCAGCGTTCCTGCCCTCCAGCAGGAGTGGGGCCAGAGGGCTGGAAGTGACAGACCACCCAACCCCATGGGCACCAAGGGACCTCCTGGCAGTGATGAGAGCTCCAGCCTCTGCAGATGTGCTGTCCTTGTGCCATCACCCCCTCGGGGCCATGACTCTCTCAGGGAGACCCCAGGCTCTGGCCTGTGGGGACACATGGGGACATGTCAGGGCTGAGTCTCAGTCACAGATGCCTGGAGAGAAACCCCTGGTGAGGCACCTCAGCACCTGCACCCCAGCTCAGGCTGGGCACACCGAGGGCAAGACTCAGGAGATGTGTGTGCACCTCACACCTGCTGTTTCTGTCCTCCAGCTCCCAAATCCTGGAATGGGGAGGGTGCCAGCATGGACCAGGAGATGCTGCTGCTCAGCTGAAGGTGCCATATCCTTGCTAAAGCCCAGGCTGTGCCCCAGCCCTCCCTGACCCCCATCCTGCCTCCTGGGGATTGCTTCAGCCAGCCCAGGTTCAGGCTCCTGCCCATGCTTGTGACTCTGCATGGTCTAAGGGACACCCACATGGAGCAAGAGTGTGCCCAGCCTGTCCCCCACCCCTCTCCCTCCCCTGGGGTGCTCAGGCAGGACAAGTGTCCCAGCATTGCACATCCCTGGGGCCAACCATGCCAGAACCAAGGCTCAAACCCCAGCCTGCTTTTGCTCAGTGAAGGCACCACTCCTGGCTGTCCCCTAAACCCACACACAGGGGGTGCTGGGAGCTCACAGCCCTCACACTGATGGAGCATGATGTGCACAGGCATGGCTCCAAGGGTGCCCTTTGTCAGGGTGCCTGGGCCTAGGGAACCCCAGCTGCAGCCAGGACAGCCTGAGGCTGCTGGAGCAGCCACCCAAGTGTCCAGGCCATCGGGTCACCCCTGCCTTGGGACCCTCAGCACTGGGCTCCAGCACTGGGAACTCTCTCCAGGAACACAGAGCCCTGCAAGAACAGCCAGGGGAGAGGTCCCACCAACAAGGAGGGGTCCTGCCTATCACCAGAAAGGGCACCCAGCCATGGGTAGCTTTGCTCAGAGGGCACAAGACCCCTCGGCAGGCTGGGGACCCCCAGGGTGGGAGTGAGAGGTGGGAGAGAAAGGGGATGGTGACAACCTCAGGAGAGGAGACAAGGCTTTTCTGTGTGAAAGACTCCATGCTTAGGGAAGCTCCATGCTCAGATGCAAAATCCTCTAAGGTGTCCTCTTCCATCGTCTGTGCCAGCACGGAAACCCCAGCACCCACGGGGAGAGAGAGAGGGAGACAGAGACAGAGAGACAGAGACAAAGAGAGAGAGAGAGAGAGAGAGAGAGAAAGGGAGAATTTGAGAAGGAATGAAGGAACAAAGGGTGAGCAGGTGGGTGAGCGGATGGATGGATGAATGGATGGAAGGATGGAGAGATAGATGGACAGAAGTCACAGCTGTGCCAGCTCTAGATGCTCCATTCATATCTCTGCACCTGATAAATTCCATGGTAAAAGCAATGTGGGGGAAAGCCCCCCTTCCTCTGAGCACTGTGAGGGGCCACAGCCCCCCCTGCAGCCCCCATCTCCAGGCAGTGCTGGGGCCCACTGGGAACACAGGCACATCCCAAACTCCCCACAGAGCCTGTGCCCTCTCCATGGCAGGGGCAGCCAGGGCAGAGCAGCCCCAGGTGGCACCCACCCTCCCGGAGCCACGTCCCTTGCTGCGGGCACAGCACACACCAAGGGACAGCAGGCAGGGAAGGTCCCTGGCAGGGACAGGGCATCCAGGCTGGCAGGGGGACACTCCTGTCACATGCTGCCTGCACTGAGCCCAGCAGGGACCCACAGAGTCCAGCTGTGCCACATCCACACCCCTCCAGTACGGGGGCTCTGTCCTGGCACCCCACTCCAGCACTCTCCTGTTGCCCCCCTGGTCCCAGTGCAAAGCCAGTGTGCACAATGCCCAGAAGGGAGGATGTGGCTGTGGGATCCAGCACGGCACCACTCATCTTCCACCTCTTCCCACCACCCAGGTTCCACTGCTGAGAGCACCACAGGGCACCCCTGCACCGCAGCCTGGTCCTGCCCTGCTGGAGACACCCCTGGGCAGGAGCTGCACTGGCCCTGCCCCACAGGCTGCTCCTGAGAAGAGTGTGCAAAACCCCACCCCATGCGCCACCAGAGCCACAGCCCACCTCTCTGGTAGCCCCAAAACCCCTTCAGACAAGGGCTGCTCAGTCTCCTGCAGTGCCCAGGGAGATTCCCCACCAGCAGTAAAAATGGTTCAAAAACATAGAAACAACACCCCTGTCCCCAGCACGTCACTCCCACCGAGTTCCCTCAGGGCAGCACAGGAGCTGAAGGACTCCTCCCCAACAGATCCTGATCGTCTCTGGAAGAGAAGCAGCAGAACAAACCTCAGTGGCCTTTTCAGGGGTTCCCTTTGGTGTTTCATCCTCGTGCTTGGGTGAGGAAGAGGCAGGTGAGGAAGGCAGCCTCCTGTCCCGGTCCCTGTGAACCAGTTTGCTGTTGGGCTCCTTCAGGGTCCGCTTCAGCTCATTGATGCTTGCCTGGTGCTTCAGCAAAACGTCCTCTGGCTTGTCTAAAAACTTGGGAAGGAGAGAGGAAGAGGGAGATGGTTACAGCAGCAGCCCAGTCCAAAGGGATGAGCAGGGGCACTGGGAGGGCTGGTGTCACACTGGGCTGGAATTGAGGGGCTCAGGAGCCAAATGAGGAGCAGAATGGAGCACCATGGTCTGCAGGTCCCACTGTAGGACAGGGAGCAGCTCTTTCACTGCAGGCAGCAGCACAACGTGGGTAGCAGGTGAAGGGCACAGCAAGGCCTGGTGGCATCTCCAGGGCTCTGTGTCCTCCTGGCTGGGGACATGCTAAAGCTTCCTGGAGGGGAGAGCTGGCTCTCCCTTGGGACCAGCAAGGAATGGGGCCCTGCTGGAAAGACCAGCAGCCTCTGCTGTTGGCTGGTGCCAGGCACAAGGGAGCCCAGGCTCTGTCTCACAAAGGCATTTCCAGCCGAGGTCCCCCAGAGCAGGCTCTGACAAAGGGCTGGAGGTCCAGGGCTGGGCAGGGATGTCCAGCTTGGATCCAAGACTGGATCCCCGTGGATCAGCCCAGGCTGGGGTGGGTCTGATCTGCTGTGGAGAGAGGACAGCTCAGAGTGCTCAGGGAGAAGAGAGGGGTCAGTGTCAGGGCACGGCGCCGGGGTGCCCCCTCATCCTGCCACAGAGGTGGGCAAACCAGGAGGAACCCGGCTTCTGCCTCCAACCCAAACCCAAAGCTCTCCTCAGGTTCAAAAGGAGGCCCCCAAACACCTCCCCGGCACCTTCTCGGCAACAGAGCAGAGACCCGTGAGAGTCCCAGCAAAAGCCCCACGGAATTTTCCAGACCAGAGGGCTCAGCAGCGCTCAGGAAAGTCCC